CCCTTACAGTGCCCTGACTGCCATAGTATAGGGATTGGAGAAGAGCTATAAGGTGCACGGGTACTCCAAGTTCCTGAAGGACCCGCCATAAGCAATTCTAGCCATCGCAGTCAAACGCCTTGCTGTAGTCAACGAAGCACAGGATAACAGGTGTATCGAATTCGTAGCATCTTTCTACTAATTGTCGGATGTTTAGGATTTCCTCATGAGTACCTCTGCCTTGCCAGCCTGTCCAGTTCTGTTTAATTAGCATAAATACTTTTTAGACTGTTTCGTTATTGATATCGGGCTATCTATTTTGCAGGATCTGCTTTGTAAGTACGGTTTTTGAAAGTAAACTTAATTACAGGGCAACATTGAAAATTTATTCATTATTCAGTACAAAGAGATTTGATTAGTTTTTTGAAAGAATAATGACAGCATTCGCCATGAAAGATATGAATTTGTTTATTTTCTTGTCGATTTGAGTTTGTGTCTCTTTTTTTTCGTGCTTAGATAGGTGGACTAGCTCACAGCTCACCAGGTGTTGAGTGGTTACTGGAGCCCATAGACATCTACAATGTAAATGCGCCACCCAACTTGAGATATAAATTCTAAGGTCTCAGTATAGTTACAACGGCTGCCCCACCCTTCAAGCCGAAACGCATTACTGCTTCACGGTAGAAATAGGCAGGGTAACCTATCCGTGCGGACTCACAAGAAGTCGTACCACCAGTTCACCAGTAAGTCTCTCAGTTATTTTGACTACAGGGTCTGGCTTTCATTGTTTGTAGTGTCTTTTATGTGCTGTGAACAACATAGCTTTAGTTTTCGTTATATGATAAAACGAAACATTTAATATTTTCTCTGACGATATTCTTCATGCGCGGGAACGTTAGTTGAAGTCGTCGTGGCCTAAAGGATAAGACGTCCGGTGCATTCGTATGTAGCGATGCACCGGTGTTCGAATCCCGCAGGCGGGTACCAATTTTTCTAATAAAATACGTACTTAACAATTGTTCACGATTGACTTCCACGGTGAAGGAATAACATCGTGTAATAAAAGTGAAACCCGCAAAATTATAATTTGTGTAATTACTGGTGGTCCTCTTGTGAGTCCGCACGGGTAGGTAACACCACCCCACCTATTTCTGCCGTGAAACAGTAATGCGTTTCGGTTTGAAGGGTGGGGTAGCCGTTGTAACTATACTGAGACCTTAGAATTTATATCTCTCATTTGTGTGGCGCATTTACGTTTTAGATGTTTATGGGTTCAAGTAACCACTTAACACCAGGTGGGCTGTGAGGTCGTCCACGTATCTAGGCAATAAAAAAAATAAAAAAAAGTAAACCGCTTGTACTTGGAACTATATTAAATTAAAGGACATAATGAACACCGGCTGTTTAATATTTTCTGAGAATTCATGCAATTCGCTGTCGCAGTTCAAGTTAATTTAGTTTTTCTGTAATTTAATTTCAGTAAACAACTTAGACAAAAAAAAAGTTCAATTGTTTTTGTTTAAGAAAGTTAGATTGGAAATGGAGTTATTACAAATTTTCGTTTTGTATGATTAGTTTAGCGTAGTCGTAAAGAGTTTCCATTAGGAATGAGCCTTTTTATTTTTTCATGGTGGATTCATACAATCGTAATACTTTTTTGAAAGTCATAAAAAGTATTTGCTAATAAAAAAATATTTGTCTTAAGAACATTATTTATTTAAATATGTCTTTTTTAAAGCTGTCAGAAACCGTGAAATTATGGATAGCGTATGTATAATAAATAGTATATCGCAACATACCTGTTATAATAAATAATAATAATAATAATAAATATTTACTAACAATCACGCCACGTTAACTGGTCCCGTTATAAGTTCGTAAAGAACTTGTGTTCTGTAACACAAGTTCTTTAAGTAGTACCTGTGTACCAGATAACGGAAATAAATGTAAGATTTTTATTATATACATACATATATTTTAATATACATCCATAACCCTGGAAAAGACATTTATATTTATCATACAAATACCTTCCCTTGGCGAGATTCGAACCCGCGACCCCCTTATGTAGTGACCATGTCACTTACCACTACACCAGACGGCCGTCGTCCTTGTATCCTTTTCATAATTTCTCTTGACGAAAACGACTATGTGGGTGCTCGCTTTTAACGATAAGACCGACTATTGTACAATTATACCTGCCCGTTGACTGTTCCATGTTAATTGTGTCTTGGTGTGCAATAAATTCGGCTTTCTCTCTCTATCTCTTTCTTCACACCTATGCACGATTGTGGGTCCGTCAATGAGTCCTAAATTAAGGATCTCTCTTCTTCACCTCTGTCGTTGAGCTCTTAGTAGGGTGTCGTGATCAACTGCTTATGCTGTCAGGCGCAGATGTTCTGGCTGCATGACGTCACGCCATTTGTCACGATTCGAAGTCATTCTTGAGCACTCATGTAAGAAACTCGTTAGTAATCTATCAAATAGAAAAGCAGATGAAATTTACATATTTAAATTTAATTTTTTTATTTACAGCCTTAAGGGGCGCCTATGAACCACTGAATTTACGAATAACTAACGCAAAAATAATTAACTGCTTATAATAAGCATACGCAATTGACAGTAGAAGACTCTGCAAAAATATTAAAGGGAAAAATCAAATTTTAGCTCAATAAATACAAGCATTAAACTGTAATAGAAGATCTAAGAAGCAGAACAATAGTTTAAAAAAACTAAAAAACACGCTTTAAATAAAATTTTACTAAAAAATAGAAAATTAATTTTAATAAATTGAAATTGAAAATAGTGTACAAAAAAATAAATTTTACTACTATAATAAAAAGCGTGGGGTGCCTTTTAAGATATTATTGAAATAATAATTCTTCTACTCATATCTGTCAGAAAAATATTTATAACTAATAATAACACCATGTACCCCACGCTTTTTTTACAATAAAAAATTTTTTTTTTACACTATTTTGTATTTATATTTAATAAAATTTATTTTAATTTTTTAGTTGAAGTTTATATAAAGCGTGTTTTTTAGTTTTTTTAAAATATTATTTATTTCTCATTTTTTAGTTGATATTATTTTTTTTCAATTTTGAAGTGAAACTTCTTTATCGGCGTTGGAAAAAAATTTACCGTCACATTTTTCGGTTACGCGTCACATTTTTCCGTTACGCGCCATCTTTTTTGTATTCATGTCTATGATAATAAAATCCTTTTGTTTAAACTTTATCTAATTTAACTTTTTTGTATTCATGTCTATGATAATAAAATCCTTTTGTTTAAACTTTATCTAATTTAACTTTATTTAACCAATTTCTAGAAAGTTGCATGTAGATCATTTTTCGAAAAATAAGGCCATAAAGAAGTTTCACTTCTTACGTGTGTACACTAGTACACGCACACATTTTTTTTTTTAAAATATTGAATTGCCGTCGGTCCTCTATAAATCTACAAAGTTTGAATGAAATCTGACCGTTTAAAGTGGGTCAAAATCGCGTCTAAAGGAGCCAGTTACAACATACAAACATACATACAAGTGAAGCTAATATAAAGCGTGTAATAAAAAATATAGAGAAGTTCGTGAAATCGATTTTAATTTTCAAATCGGTAATTTATCTGCTAGATGGTTGATCCGAGAGACTTATCAAGAGGACTATTAAGCGGAGGAGGAAGCCCTATTAATCTATTCGGTTATTTATGACAGCCAAAATAACACCAAGGTATACAAGCTCGAGTACAGCTACCATGAACCTGGATGTTAGGATCGTCGGCAGCCGACAGCGATGGCCATCTTAGACGACCGTCTCTAGGTCTTATGCTATTTTTACACATAAATTATTACTAACACACTAATTTTAAGAAAATTTACAAACCCGCCATCTACATGTTACTTTAATAACTATTTTTTTGCGAAATTGAGTACCACATTGCTTGATATTACTTAAGCTATTTCCTAAAATACTTGATAGATGGCATTTCTAAGCTTAACCAAAATCATGGAATTACTTCGCGAGCCACTAATATAATATAAGTATTGTCCCACTAAAACATTATCGAGTTTGTTTTTGTTATTTTAATATCTAGTTCGGTAATATCATTTAGTGACGCTACATGCAGTCTTATTAACAGTGCCCTCTAGTGAAATACATAGGCATATAATTTTTAACGTATAAGTACCACTATGTACTACGAGATGGCGGGTTAAAAAAAATAATATGATTTTTTATATTTTTCTTTCTACTTTATCCTAATTTGCTATTGAATACACGCCATTTCAGGTCCTCCCAATCCACTATCGGTGCTTGTCCCTCAAGCACCGGTCACCGCTCTCGTCAAACCCGTCGGTTCAGCGAGCAAATTAACCCTCAGACACGGCCCACTAAGTTTCTCGCCAGATCTTCTCAGCGGGTCACGTTTCCGATCCGGTGATAGATTCTCAGAAGCACTGCAGCAAGTAATGCTCCATTACTGTCATTCATCCACACATTCCGTTCATACGTGTATTATTCCATTACCATCAATCACCAGGTTTACGATAAGCTCATGTACCTATCTAATCTAACAAGAAAATAAAAACAATGAAGAATGACAATAAAACTCGCTGACCAGTGAAAGTTTAGAACAGACATTGGATAGCCACTAATTTTGACATCCTACCTACGAAATGGTCACGTTCAATTTACACTTACAACAATTAAATTAAGTACAACCGTTAACATGCTACGAATAAGTTAACTTCACGGGCAATTAGGAAGCATGTTATAATTTGGGAGTCTTATAATTCACACGGGTGTTTTTGAAGACCTGAAACTGGCTTCAAATCGTTTTGATTGTAGGCAGGAGCTTGAAGTAAAAGAAAAAACTTAGGAACGTGCCATAGTGGGACTGGACGACTTCCACATTGTTCTAGGCATCCTGATCGAAGTCGGGATTAATGCGTGTACCATTTCATCCAGCTGGTCTTGGGGAGCGTAATTGGTCACGCGCTGCTTTACACGGTTGTGCTGACGATGGTCCTATACGGGACATTTGTATGGGGCCAGAATGTGACCCCGAGAATGGATCGCTTCGATTCCCGCGACGCGTCCACGGTCAAAATCATTCATGAATATCACCCGGCCTTTCCAGTTTCACCAGGACAGGTAGGCGAGCAAAAAGTCAGCAAAGAGGGATGGGATTTGCTAATAGCTGCTTGAGCGTCTCCAAAGAAGACCTAACATCTCAAGAGCAGCTGCTTCACGAATGAATCACTACCGGATCCGAATTGCGACCCGTTGCGAAGATCTAGCAAGAACCTCAGCGGGCTGACGTGTGGGTTAGGTTGTACATCGAACTACTTACCGAGTTCGATGAGTACGGTTACCAGGGTCTCCAAGCCTGCTCCTAGTGTTAGAGCTGAAGGCGTCTAGTGCTGAGGTTAATGGATCTGATGGATCCGTAAGGATGTGTCTGGAGTATCAACGTTGCTGCTAACGCAGGAGTCGGGGAGTCGTCAGCGACGACAAAAATAAAGCGATTTTTATGACGTATTACCTTATGATCTCCGACGACTAGCCTACAAAAAGGTCATTGGAAGGTGTTTACGTGTGTGCGGGCCGTGGGAGCGAACACCACACTGGCGTATGTCATCACGGTTGTCAACAGTACTCTGAAGATCTGAACAGTGGTGCCAAGCAATATAATAAGATTTGACAAAATTCGAAGATCGCGCTATCGCTCTAGATTTATTTAAGTATCTGAAGACAACGTCGGAACGCCATTTCGAAAAAGCGGCACGACACAATCACCCTCTTATCGTGGTGGCCGCCAACTACATACCCGATCCAGAAGACCAAAAGACAAACAGTCGCCGACGCCCAAACCATGGATCTTTCCGATCCATCCCCGGTGCTTTTAGGCATCTCAAGCACCGGTCATCATTCTCGTCGACTTCGTCGTGTAAATTATCCCACAAATACAGCCCACTGCGCTTCTCGCCGGATCTTCTCAGTGGATCGCGATTCCGATTCAGTGGTAGATTCGGCGAAGCACTTGCTAGGGCTATTCTGGTCTTCGAAAAGTCATACTAGATTCACCGAGCGAGCAGCTGAGCTTACGGGGTTCTGACCTGTCGTTTGCCAACATTAGCTCTAGCAAAAGCAGTGCTTCGCAGAATCTACCAACGGATCCGAAACGTAACACACTCAGAATATCCGGCCAGAAACTCCGTGGGCTCTACTGTTTGATATAAATTACCACAGCATAAGACAAGACATAAGACTAGACAGTCCACACTCTGCCTTCGTCGCGCACTCGAGTACTTCGGTCATATTGCTCGGAAAACACCGGATAGCTTAGAGAGACTATTCGTGACATGGAAGATCGAGGGAAAGAGACCGCGCGGGCACAGTCCGGCAAGGTGGTTCTACCAAATCAGCACCACACTAGATATCCCATTCCACGACGCCCTTCATGCGGCCAATGATCGGTGGCGCTGGCGGGACATTACAAGGAGCAAAATCCTGTCGACATATAATGGTCACGACCCTCAGCAGTAAAGAAACGACGCGTGGACCACAGCATATGAAAACGTTTGGACAGACGGCGTACAGGAAGGGGTATATTAGTAAATAGAACTTCGTAAATCACGAATGTTCATTGACCGCAATTTACACATCGTCAGTTAGCACAATTTAATGATTACAATATTTTACAAAGACCTGTCAGTTATCGGAGTAAGTTCGTTAATTGTACACCTAAATATTCAAGTTGGTTCATCAATAAGGCTTTATATTTAATTTGAAGACGTTTCTAGATAAAGACAATTTTAAAAGCAAATATAAAAACAAATTCGCGATTGATGTAAACAAAACTTATGGATGGTCGATTGTATGGACATGTCGAACATCTCAATTCCGTTGATATCCAAAGTTTGATTTAATTTTAATCCGCCCGGTTCGAAGTCGCTAATATTTTAATCGATTTCGTAATCTGCGTGTTCTTTAAGTGGCGCTTATCAATATTAATCACCTCAATATATTATCATCGATACGCGACAGTTTACTATTGTGTTTGTTGTGAAACGGTCACAATTTCACTTGTTTATTTACCTATTTATTTTTGTACGTGAATTATGAAAACATTCCGATGACTGTCATGGTAAGTGAATGAACAAGTTCTAGAGCTCACATGTTTTCATCTCACAAGGAAAATGCCATTACGTTTCATCAGCTAAATTTCAATACAAAATACATAGGTGTGCGATTACCGTACCACATTGATTCGATTCGGTGCGATAATTTACGTGTTCTGTTCATCTCTAGACAGACGCTCCGATTTAATAATCGACTTTTTTATTCCTAATTATTATCACGATTATTCCAGTACGGAGAGCAGAATTACCATTGTTCCACTGTAATTGACAGCTCGACCTCGAGCTGCATAGTGGATGACGGCATTCACGCATCATTCCGCTGCATCGTCTACAGACTCTAGTAATCGATAAACATTAAGTAGCCGCCCTATGTACGCTAATTCAGAATACGTTTATTTTGCAATTATTTTTATTCCTCCCGATGGCCCGATGTGTTTACGGCCTTCCTGGCTTAAGTCGTTATCGGACCCGTCGACTTAGGATGACAACGCAAATGTCGCTTGAGATGTAAATATAGAATACTAAAATTATATGACAGTGGCACCTGTCTATGTAAATACTCCTGACGCGTCTAATGAATTACAGAGAGGCGAAAACCCTTTTCGGTTTTTAAATCGGATGACGTCATCGATGACATCAGACTTTTCTTAATGTATAAAGTTATTCTTTATTTAAATTAAATTTATAAAAAATAAAAAATAAATGTGATGCATGTGCAACTTGGTGCTCGTGAAAGTGAAACTCTTTTGCAGTATGTAGTGTTGTGATTTTCTTAATTTTTTATCCTTAAATCAAATTTTTCTTGTAATAAGGAATGCTGTGTATAAGAAAAACGACCTAGCTCGCTTTGTCCGTTCCTTCTCTTCACGGGCGAGTGGTTCGCGAGACGCTCTGTCTATTTTCTCACTCTCGCTCTTCTTAAATTGTATATTTTCTCTCTAGCCGTAACGAATCTTTCGCGAGTTAAAATTTACTCATTTTAACTTAAATATACATAATATGTATTTCGATATATTAATGTATTTCATATATCAAAGAATCACTGACCTATTGTACTACTACTTATAACTAAACTGCGTAATGTGATCTATTGTAAACTACCTATTGTACGTTGATCGTACTAAATAATACATTAAAATCTGTTCTGTTCTGATGTACAACCTATTTCATTGTGAAGTTTTATCCAAACTCATCAAGTAGTTTTTACGTAAACGAGTAAGAAACATTCATCACAAACACACAAAGTCTAAACAAAAAAACGAAGGCAAAAACTACCTTAAAATGTATGCTTTTGTCAATCTTTTTTAAGGTTTTTAAAACAGTCACCAATAACAAAACTATTCTAACCATTTCCTCGATAAAGTGTTCCCCGAATACCTAAAAAAACACTACAATTAATTAACAAAATCAGTGAGTAGGAAATTTAATTGTTATCATTAATCTTCTATAAAAACATTTTTTGTACAGGGAAAATCCGTTTTCTGACGTCAAAATTACAAAAAACGCAGTAATAAAATCTCGAATCGCTTACATGCGTGAGAATAACTTTTAAATACCACCGAAACAAGAAACTGAGAAATCAGAATTAAATAATAAAAAAAAGTTCAATACTCTCTGTCTGTTTTATTTTTATATATTATCTCTTGTAGAAGAATTTATTTTTATTAAAACCTTTTTAGATGTCTTTCACAAAATAATTTATGATATATATGTACTACTAGTCTCGCTTCACTATGACTATTGCTAATTGTCAAAAAAATCGTTGATTTCTTGAAACTACTAAACTAAACACATACCACTTATCGCACTTAACAGAAACCTTACCGAGATTGCCAACAACAAATATACCAAATTTTAAATATACGCATTTATATAATTCTAATATTGTTCATATTACAAGCATATCACGTGTGTCTGGATTTTTAACATCACTTGGTGTTGTTTCCGGAACTCATAGACATCACAAGGTGAAAGCCGCCACCCATCTTGAGACACGAGTTCGAAGTCTCAACACTATTGTGAAAGGATGTTGGCTGGTGATTGAAGGATTACTAGTGGCCCGGAGGCCATTCCAGTTTCAGTAGGACAGGTGGGCGAGCACGGGCTCAACCAGGAGGGATGGGATTTCAAAACAGCTACCCGAGCGCCTCCAAAGGATAGCTAACAGCTCAGGAGCAGTTACTTCGCGAGTGAATCTACTACCGGATCGTAATCGCGACCCGCTGAGAAGATCCGACAAGAAACTCAGCGGGTTGAAATTTTAAGTTATATTGCACGTCGAACTCTTTACCAAGTTCGACCAGGACCGCTACCGGGGTCCCTAAGCCTGCTCTTAGTGTTCGAGCTGAAAGCATCTAATGCAAGAGTAACTGGATCTGATGGATTCGTAAGGACGTGTCTAGGACGATATCTGTTCGGGCTTACAACACACTATTTGAAATCGTCGTGGCCTAACGGATAAGACGTCCAATGCATTTGTGTTGAGCGATGCACCGGTGTTCGAATCTCAGGCGGGTACCAATTTTTCTAATGAAATACGTACTCAACAAATGTTCACGATTGACTTCCACGGTGAAGGAATAGCATCGTGTAATAAAAATAAAACCCGCAAAATTATAATTTGCGTAATTACTGGTGGTAGGACCTCTTGTGAGTCCGCGCGGGTGGGTACCACCACCCTGCCTATTTCTGCAGTGAAGCAGTAATGCGTTTCGGTTTGAAGGGTGGGGCAACCGTTGTAACTATACTTAAGAACTTAGAACTTATTCTCAAAGTGGGTGGCGCATTTACGTTGTGGATGTCTATGGGCTCCAGTAACCACTTAACACCAGGTGGACTGTGAGCTCGTTCACCCATCTAACCAATAAAAAAAATTGATAACTAATTAACCTATTGTATTGTACATTTAATTATATTAATTTTATATATACCTCTTATAGTATATAGTTTTTTTTAAATAATAGTATTTATTTGCATACCTTTTTTTTTATCGGAAATATATCAATCGCGTTATTCAGGGTCACGACCAAAACACACAATCAGATTATTAACATACTTTTAAATATTACTCATAGATTTCAGTAGCAATTATTATGTCCCAACAGATGACTATCATGCGAAGATTCTAGACTTTGGACGATTATGTTTATTTTTTATTTTTTATTGCCTTTGTAGGCAGACGAGCATACGGCCCACCTGATGGTAAGTGGTCACCGTCGCTCATGGACGTCAGCAATGCCAGGGGCAGAGCCAAGCCGCTGCCTACCATAATCTAACTTTTTAAACCATAATATCAAGTCATCGTGGACTACCGCCGTCCTAGGTGAAATTATAAATACCTGAGACAGACGTAAATAAAACGATAATAATAAGGATGCTATTAATCGTTCGGATAAGAAAAAAGAACCTAAAATTCCTTTGCAAATCAGTACTTTACAGACTTGAGCAAAATTCTTGAATTACTTGGAACACATTGTCAGAAGTCAAGTCTTAGGCAGGCTTAGTGTAGTCCACCGACAAGAGTTCCGATGAACATGACACTGACAATGGCTGTTTCGATGTCCCGCGAGGCTACCTGCACGGGAGGAATGTACTTTGGGTGAATCATGTTATCTTACCACCGGTCTGTCCTAATAGAGTTCTCTTTTTTTTTTTTTTTATTACTTACATGAGTGGACGAGCTCACAGCCCACCTGGTGTTAAGTGGTAACTGGAGCCCATAGACATCTACAATGTAAATGCGCCACGCACCTTGAGATATAAGTTCTAAGGTCTCAGTATAGTTACAACAGCTGCCCCACCCTTCAAACCGAAACGCAGTTCTCATTTGAAGCTCGAAAGCAAGTTTTTGAGTGGCATAACATTTTCTTAGATTCAACTCTAACTGCCCCTTCAAATTTTCCCCAACGCGGAAGTAGAAATCTCAGGCACAGGCTAGCCTCCTGAACCTAAAAAGAGGGATGATTTGAAAAAAAAATACCCATCGACGATATCGAAAAGAAGAGGCCCAGAAATCGAAATCTTATCTCGAAATCCAAATCTTCGAGGCTATCTGTGCAACTGACGATCGAACTTGCCTATGGACGATCGCTAACGAAAAGTGTTTGATAATCATTACCAACCTCAGCATTGATTATAACAGCACACCAAGTATACTTATGTGTTCAATCTTATGTCTCAATATGGTTTTTTTTATTGCTTAGGTGGATAGACGAGCTCACAGCCTACCTGATATTGATTGGTTACTGGAGCCCATAGACATCTACAACGTAAATACTCCACCCACCTCGAGATATAAGTTATAAGGTATCAGTATAGTTACAACGGCTACCACACCCTTTGAACTGAAACGCATACTGCTTACGGCGGAAATAGGCGAGGTGGTGGACCCGTGCGGACTCCCAAGAGGTTCTACCACCGGTGATTACGCAAATTATAATTTTGCGGGTTTGATTTTTATTACACGATGTTATTCCTTCACCGTGGAAGTCAATCGTGAACATTTGTTGAGTACGTTTTTCATTAGTAGCATTGGTACCCGCCTGCGGGATTCGAACACCGGTACATCGCTACATACGAATGCACCGGACGTTTTATCCTTTAGGCCACGACGACTCCAAAATATTATATTATATATCATTGGTTTCACGTTATAGTATCTATGCAGTGATAGCGTAACATTAAGCAACCTATCAGTCTTAGCTACTAAAAAAATCTCATTAACAATAACATTTTTCTTTTATTAATAGGAGGATCGCGACTTATCGCGAACAATGGGCTCTGTGGTGCTTCAAGTAGGCGCCTTAGAGCTCCTAGCAAGGTATTCAACGAACTCAGGGAGAGCGACCAGCGTTCTCTCATCATTACATGAATTCAGAACACAAGAAGTTGAATTGGCTGGTGGGAAACAGTGGAATTGGAAGTATTTAAGGGTAAGATGAGATCAAAGATAAAAATGAAGTATCATTTATATTTTTAAAAGGACTTGATTTAATTTATTAACATTGTGCCAAACACAAATTTATACAGTATTCGAAACTTAGAACATTACAAAAGATGAAATAAAAAGTAATGGATTATATTATTATTATTTCTATAAGACTACCAAAAACAATTGAAAATATGTTCATTTGTCAGCAGCGCTAGCGAAAAAAACAATGCACATACCTCTATTTTCATATTTTCTAAAGTAGACAAGCTCTCAGCCTACCAGACCACAAGTTTTTTTTCTTCTTCTGAGTCGGCATCTTCATTCCTGAAGGTTGACCGTTCTCTCATCATTATCGTCGCCCGTTGCACAATTTATCTCCACATGTCTCTACCTTCGGCAGCTCTAAGTGCTTTAGATATAGACATTCTGGTACAGTGATTAGCCTTTTTGACTTGTAAAGGGGATTCGATGGTCATTAGGTCGATACCCACATCGGGTAAACATTTGTTCAACAACAGGTTTGTTTGCTCTTTATCTGGGTAAATAATTTCTATATGAAGAAATATTTAACGATTATAAGTAGGTTTACCAGTCTCTGGCTCACACAGTATAGGGGAGAATCCTAAATTTTGGACCAGAAGATCGAGTGTCCCCGTTTATTATTATTATTATTTTGTTTATAATTAATTCATTCGCTTAACCTACGTAGATCAAAATTTGGATGTTGCAAAACATCTTTATTGTTAAATTAAATGTCGAACTTAATCGAATTCTCGGAAACAGATAAGACGGCTCGGTGTTAATCATTTCGTTCCACAGAAATCAAATGATGGATGAAACAAAAAAAGGACGAACAATGCTATTGCTTGGGCAAATAATCTTTACAGCTTAGATAAAAATTAGTATACCTTTTAAATGAATGACATTGAAATTTGTTTTATTATTTAATTATTTTTTACCAATATATTTTTAATATAAGCCGCGCCAATAAAAAAAGGAATCGAAAATGGCGTGTGCGACTAAAGACAACAATAGTTTAGAGTGAGAGCGCATGATCGCCGCCGCCATTTTAGATTCGTTTCTTTATTGGCGCAGCTTTAAATACAAATTTTTGCAAGGTTTGAACACGCTTTAGGTATGCGACAAAGAAAAGATCTTCCACCGAGCGGATGATATTGCTCGGTAGACCGACGGTCCAAATGTTGTTGTTCGGAACTTGTATATATGCAAGCTTATCTTGAAAATGTCGTAAGCGAGATTCAGGCATCTGTCATATATCTTGTATTCTGTGATGGCTACCGCCACAATGCTTTATACTAATTTCATTTTAAAATCGAAATGTTTTTCTTAAATTTAATGTACAGACACTGAAAACGTAATGATTATTTTATTCATCAGTTTATTAACAAGAGTTGTGTCCAGTAGAGACATGATATTTCTACAATACCTATCACCTTATCACCTATTAAACACGGGAATAATTTTACTTAATTTCTCCATTGATTCTCGCGGTGAGTTAAAGTTGTCCATATAAGTGGTGATAAAACTTTGTTTTTTTTTTTATATAGTGTCATCCAAAACAAGGACGCTGAGATTAACAAAGTATCTGAAAATGAGACTTGGGGTTTAAAAAAATCACTTTAAAAAAATCAAACGCAGCATTTTCCCCCTCATTTGCAATGGTCACTGTAACTGTAGTTGGGCAATTCAAATAACTCTAGTTTTATTGTTTCAGGATCAATTTGATCAAAAAGATTTAGAAGGACTCTACAGAAAATACGATGACAAACTGAGAGATGTATTAATTCATATTTATGTATCTCTTCTAGTATTCTTTACGACTGTACACATCGTTTTAGTTGTGATATCTACATTTTCAGAGGTGAACTAAACATCATTTTCTATAATAATCTACTTTCATTATACTTACTGTATATACATTTAGACAAAATTTTTACATCTTCTTACAATCTTACATAAGTAGTAAGTTCGGCGCAAAATGTTTTCTCCTTCCATACTCTTCTATCATACACCATTTCTTCGCTCACTCACCCTTACCCATATCGTCTTTCACGCAATCCATCCATTTCTTCTTAGGTCTACTTCTTCCTCTCTATCCTTTCACATTCATGGTTAAGATTCTCATACCAACCTCATTTTCATTTCGTCTCGTCACATGTCCATACCATCCCAAACGCACACTTCTCAGCTTCTCTGTCACAGGTGTCACGTTCAGACTTCCTCTAACATCTTCATTCTGTATTCTATCCATTCTCGTTACTTCGCATCTCTGTGCGCCTTTCATCCGCCACTTCAGTTGTCCAACAAGCATAAATCAGAAACCAATTAAATCCCAAAATTTTGTAGTCTCCATACGATCCTCTTCACGTGTTACCTGTTTAATTTAAAAAACTATTGTTTTCAATAAAAATGAAATTAATAAATGAAAAAAGTTATTAAAAATGATAGTGATGATGAATGTTATAATACGTTTGGCTATTTATTGTTGAATGTTTTTAAACTTATGAATGTCAAAATTAGTTTATCAGTTTATACTTTTGTTCATAGCAGTTAAGCGATAGATCTTCAAGACTTTTTGCATAAACGAATGATAGCTACTTATTTTATTTATAATGGCTTACTTAATTTATTATTTAGAAATGTTTTCAGCAAATACAGTCAGAGTCAACATACTTAACAATGGGAATGTACGTTTTGCGTATTGCAATACCAGCTCTATCACTTTGCAAGAAGGTATATGAGCCCTTGAAGAAGAAGTGCAATTGGATGCCGATATTTATTACATTTTTTGTTACTTTGCACTTAGTTTTAACAGGTATATTTAAAATTTGCTATTAAAAGTTACTAAAGTTTATATTTGATGTGATTGAAATTATAATGATTATTTTATATGTGTACAAGTGTGATAATCCTTAAAATTATATTTTAGTTCAATTTTCAACTAGTCTTATTTTAACAAACAAAAATCAAAACAATGACCGCTTAAACACAAACACTACGTATATTTCAATCAATCTCCTAAAAATCCATTTACTTTGTCATGATTACGATAAACAAAGTAAAATCATCCTATTTTAAATTAATCTACATGTGAATCCCCCGAAAATCGATTAATTCAAATTATAACGGTATCTCGAGCGATAGTCTGAGGTTTTAGATAAACTCCCATTGAAATACTAAGAATACCGAATAGATAGATAGATACATACATTGTGTTTCAAACGTTTTCTAAAATTAAAGACTCACATATAAAATTCTATCCGATTACGCATAGATCGATAATTACCTTTCTCGTGGTTCTAGGATGATAAAAAAAACAAATGTATAGAATGAAATACAAATGAATTTTTTTTTCATGTCCAACTTAGATAAAAGGATTTTCTTTAAAAATAATCGCCTAGAGTAAAAACCGAATTAAAACAATAACCTAACCTAACCTAACCAAATAACTACTCCCATCTGCAGTGTGATTACAATATACTGAGACGCAGTAACTCTGACCGTGCTTTGTGTGTTCCATTACGCGCTGAAAAATTATTTAAGTATCACGTCAACTTTTTTATATCCCGGTTTCGAAGATAGCAGTAGACTGCGTAGTAACGTCTTTTATTATCCACGAAAACAGCTCAAATGCAATCCATGTTGCCTCTAATTAAATTTACAGATATCGCTGTGTGCATCTACAGTTCGTTCGAGGGGATATCGTTGAGACCAGCATACGCAACGATGGCTTTGCTGTCTATTTACATATTTTTACCTATGAGAAACAATTTCCTGGTAATAATACTGGGTGTTTTGGTCAGCGCTATCTATGTACTGATCTTTGCTTTCTTCACTTATCGGCAGAACCCACAGATCGGTGTTGTCGTAAGTTATATTTTACTATTTGCATAAGACAACGTAATGGCTTCTCAGTTGCACTTTCACGATGATAAACATAATTCTAAATTCAACAAAACAATCCATTAATACTCATATATATTTCGGGAAAATTTCAGTTTTCTAACCTATTTTTAATATACATTTATTAATACTAGAGGTCCCGCAGCAGTCGAAATTCGACTATAATTAATTGGAATTGTAAGTTTGTACACTATTATGATTGTATTTGATACTTCTATAATCACAAATTTTCCCAAGACTACACTATATAAAATATTAACAAAGACATATTCTATTCTCAATTTGACAAGACGTCAAGAACAAAAGTTTGACAATAATAGTTTGCATGCGTGTGTGCGTCAAATACATGGTATGTAGTGTGTGTAATGTTTTCTTTATTGATGTAATGTACCTTTTATGCATCATTTTAAAAAAATATTTGCATTGTGCACTTCTTCTCTATATTCTCTATAAGTGTGGAAATTTTCATACTCCTCCTTCCGCGCAATTTTCTTAAAAAGGGATACAAAGTTTTTGCTTCACGTATTAATATATAGATACTTTTTTCAGTAACATAAAGTCAGTTCTGGTAAAATGTTATAAAATAGGCAGGATATCGACTACTTAGAGAGCTTGGGTATATTCGGAATTGAGCATATTCGGAATTGCTGAATATGTTTTATATTGCACATTTTATTTGTTATCTATCAAAGGGGATTATCCAAAACAGATTTGAAAATTATTCTTGAATTTACAATCAATCATTCGTTTATTCGTACTTTGTTTCGCGATAAAATTAAAGGTAAATAACATGGATGCATGTTTCAATGCGATTTTTTTTTTCTTAATATTGTCTACTACTGAACTGCCATTTGTCGAGCTGAAAGTTCGCAGTGACGTAATAATATATGTATTTAAAGGCTTTTTAACAAAAAAATTCTTTCTCAATATTTTTTTTTTAAAGTATTATTAGGGTTTTTTATTGCCATAATATTATTTTTGACCTTTCGAAGACTTTTTCATTGACACACAAAATTTATTGATGCCATAGGTATTTAATTTTCTAATACCTGTAATGTATAGACAAGATCGTCCAATATTTTTTCTGCAATTCGAACAGAAACACACAAATTGTCCGCGAAAGAATCATAAGTACCTAAAGGTCTTTTAAAATCAAAACACGGTCTTCACACAACCATTGATTAACTAACGACCTAAACTACTTTCAGGTAGCATCAGATATAATTTATCTGATCGGCGTAAATCTAATGGGCGTGTACTTTAGGCTAATGAACGAAATAATTACAAGACGGTCCTTTTTGGACAGAAGAGCCTGTGTGGAGAGTACGTTAAGATTGAAATTCGTTAAGGATCAAGAAGTAAGAGTATTTTTAATTTAGACTATGTAAACCAATGTATAATAAACTGAATATTATTAAAAACTCTAACACGTATTCTAATCATACACGTGTAGGGCTTTTTTACCATTTCTTTCTACCGCTAAGGTGCTTTCCGTTCCTATGTGCTGTGTACTTGGTGCGAGTTTTTTAACATTCTCGATAGCGTAAAAATTAACTCGAATTTGTATGCAGTTGGAACTCCAAACGCTGGAACTCCATACAAATCTGAGCTAACTTTTACGCTATCGAGAACGTTAAAAACCTCGCACTAAGCACACTGATGTTCATTATAATAAAAAAAAAACGACCTCGTATCTCAAATTTGGTGGTCACATCCACATTGACTCGTTATACCGTCTTCCCAAATAGATTACTTAAAAATATGATTTTCATTTGTAGGAACGGCTGATGATGAGCATTTTACCGGAGCACATCGTATCCAAAGTGAGGCAAGACATTAGAAATATGTTTTTGGGACTACACACTCGCGACTTAAGTTACACTATGAGATCATTCAAGTAAGTGTTCATTTCATATATTTTGAAAACATAATTGCATAATTTTATTATATTTGAAAACATAATAAAAATGAAAACATTTTTGCATTTAATTCGACCATATCCAAAGGCTCTCTTTAGGACAGTTTACGGATCTGTGTGCGGACTCTTGAGAAGTGTTAATGGTTTAAGCGCTTTTGTTTCCCACAAGAGCAACTGGTGCTACAGAAAGTCACGCATTTCCGAATGTGATTTCGATTAAATTTAGGAATAAAGAAAGAATTTATATCCGTGCCCTAAAAAGTACGACACCCAATAAAACTATTAGCGACTAAGCATTTGTTGGTGCTGTAATCAGTATTTCTCTATTTTATAGACCATTAATGGAGTTATTATGATCCTCTTAAGGTACGATGCTCACAAGTATATTTGGTGAGATATGTTATCCGTCCAACGTATTGCACTCCAACCTCTTTGCCTTTATCCCTCCATTTTCTCTGTCACTATCGACCGTTGCAGGCTCTCAGGACTTCTTCTTCAGTTTTATTGTAACATTAATTTTCTTACAACAATAATTGAGATTAACTGAATGAACGAGCTGCTGTCCACCTGATACCCAGCGGTTCTCGGAGCCCTTGGATATTACAAGGCAAATGTGACCTTAAGGCATGACATCGAAGACTAAGTCTTATTTAATAAAAGGCTGGCCCATGTGTCAGTCTACGATGCCTATTAGATCCTTTCGGGCTCACAAAGTGTCCTATCATCATCAAAACAAACTAGTCATCGAAGAATGGAATTTTCCTAACACCCAATTATTATAGCCTATTTATATGTATTTATTATCAACAAAAATGCGAAAAGATAAAAAACAGTAGTGTAAGTAAACAGACCATGAATTCAGCGTAATGACAGTGACCCACAAACGTATAGATAAGATTAATGGCGGTAGGGGATTTTGTGAGCTCACATGGGTATGTATCGCGTATTTTTGTTGCTAAGAAGATGCCACTCATCTTGGATCATAATGTCTAAGTCTCCACCACGTGAGTGTTTCGCGGCAGAAGCAGACAAGATGGTGGTACTGTGAGCTTATAATATGGTCTACCTCAGATGAAATACACAATAAGAGGGTCGGTATCGTAAAGGCTGCACTGAAAATAATGTATAGATGATATAGTAAACTTTAATAAATGATATACCCTATTAAAAACAACAAACAATTTCACTTCAATAAAGGTGTCAATTAAAAAAAAAAAAAAGTTATTTTTATCGTCATTGATATCGCATAATCTCGATCGATTTGAATATTTCAAACAATAGTTTCATTGTCAATAAATAAATAAAACTTCCTTTAAAGAGGTAATTAATTTAGAAAAGTTAAATAAAACATTGTTGTAACTATACTTGAGACCTTAGAACTTATATCTCAAGGTGGGTGGCGCATTTACGTTGTGGATGTCTATGGGCTCCAGTAACCACTTAACACCAGGTGGGCTGTGAGCTCGTACACACATATAGACAATAAAAAATAAATAAAAAAAGTCTCAGTTTTGTTTTATGTATTATTAAAAAGGTCACTGCAGTACCAACACTGTCGCCAAATGTCGATTGAGAAAGGTATCACTTCCACTACGATCGTCTTTTATTTTATCTACCTATCTGCCAGTAGCTTTAACTTTCTTTTTTATTTTATTTTATTGCTTATATAGGTTGACGAACTCACGGCCCACCTGGTTAAGTGGTTACCGGAGCCAATAAACATCTATAACATAAATGCGCCACCCACCTTGAGATATAAGTGATGATGATGAGATATAAGTACGATTGATTACCTCGTTAAAAATTTACGTTGGGAGTTGTATAGCTCTTCAGAAAACCTTAGCATTAAAACGTCTCAATATTTAACACATGAAGCAAAAAAGGAAGCAAAAAAAATTGCTGCTTAATTTTTTTTTAAATATTAAATTATGTAAAAATTGTGAATAATTACGATAATTAGTTGATAATTGTTTTTGTTTTAGTCAGTTATACGTCGAAGAACACGAAAATGTCAGTATTCTTTATGCGGATGTCGTTAATTACACAATGATATCAACAAGTTTATCTCCCATGAGAATGGTGGAATTACTGAACGAGCTTTTCGGAAGATTTGACGAGGCTTCAGAGGTATAATGCTACGTATTCAAACAATTTTATTGTTAAAATAATATCCATAGTTAAATTGCACGACGAAGCAACATTTTTCCACAATACGCCATTTGATACTATTTTCAAACGCTAACCCAACGCTAGTGATCAGTGGCTAGCAATGCCATGTTTGACACGATACATATTTATTAATTTGGAAACCATTATCAATCTTGAAGCTAAACCTCAGGATCATTATCATGGTTGTCGTGGTCCTTAATCACGAAAACTGTATTCGTAGCTGTAATGAAGTATTCGACGGATATATTTATTACAATCAAAAAAAGCGAGATTAATTAAACTAACTATATATTTCTATCCAGCCATTCTTTGAACCATTTAGCTTTAATACAATGTTTTATGCCATCGATTGGTAAACATAACACTGTACCTTAATATTTTTCAAATTTGATCAGGAATACGATGTACTACGGATAAAATTCCTTGGTGACTGTTACTACTGCGTCAGTGGGATTCCTAAGCCTTCTGTTTATCATGCGAAAAACTGCGTTGATTTAGGACTGGAAATGATTCATATCATCAAAGATGTCAGGTAGGAAATGATTTTAAACGATACTTTTCACCTTAGTTCTAACTTAACCCATACATCAGATCCAAATCTGATTTACTAATTCAAAGTCATTTCCAAAGTTGCGTTTAGTTAGAAAAACAAAAAGATATTTTTTTTGCTTTGAGGAGTGATCCTGCTGATGTTAAGTTGTTAACAGAAATTGTACACATTACTACGTGAATATGATCATCTACCTTGAGCCATGAGGTCTAAGTCTCGAATAGTACAACCGCTGTCCCGACCCTATAAAAACCAAACGCATTACTCCTTTGCAGCAAAAATAGGAAGGGTAATCCTATACGTTCACAAGATACCCTACCCATTAATATGTACCAATAATAGTGCATCAGATATTTTTATATTGTATTACAGAGAAAAACGCTCCTTAAACATAGATATGAGGATAGGTGTACATTCCGGGAGAATTCTGAGTGGCTTGATAGGTATCAGAAAATGGCAATACGATGTTTGGTCAAAAGACGTTACCATAGCAAACAAAATGGAATCCACCGGAAAAGCTGGGTATGATAAATAGATATGACTAATTTTATGTATAAATCCGATAACGAATTGAAAACATGCTGCAATAAAGTTATAGATAAAAAATAAATAAAACAAATTCGTTTTCAGAAAAGTTCACGTAACCAAGCAAACGCTAGAACTCCTTATAGATTTTGCAAGAGAATATATTATTGAACCAAATTTTGAATCTCAAAATGATCCTTTCATCACAAAAAATAAACTGGAAACCTTTCTTCTGTCACGACCAGCCAGGGTAAGTTACAGTGAAGTTGTGATATCGAGGAACATTTCAAGGAATTATCAAATATTTTTGTTAATTTTCAGCCTCCAGAATACAAACCCTTCCGTAGAGCATCCGTTGGATTTAACAAGATAATTACAACTAAAACTTCAACGTCTAGAGTAAGTGATAAGATCGTTGTCGCATTGACACGCTTGTATGTAATTTACAATATTTTTTTGTATTTCCAGTAGCGATCGGATAACAGAAATTCAACGAGACGAACAACAACGTTCATGGACGAGAACTTGGTGGAATATCAGCAAATGTTGAAGGCTGCTGACGCGCAGATGGCAAAGGAGATCGAAGAAATGACAAAGGGAAAGTAAGCCTTCGCATTTTATTTAACACTATAAACTCAAAACATTATTATAATGCATCAAATATAATGTAAATAACAGTATAATAAACATGAACTTGTTCTGACCTCCAGCACCCGATTCGAAACTGTCAGATGTAATCCAAGCAACGCAAAAAAATAATAATTGCAGAAACAATCAGAGGCAAAAAAATCACAGATTCGATTAAAATCAACCAATGCACAATAATAACAAACTGTTCTTCCTTCCTGGTTTCAGAGAATTTTTCAAGAAAGAATCAAACTTGAACCGATGTTCGCTAATGTTCAAAGACTTCCGTCTTGAAAAAATGTTCCTTTTGCTGTCGGACCCTCTATTTAAATATTAAATAACATGCTGTCTTATTATTTTATGCTTGATTTTATTGATCAATGGATTAACTACAAATTGGTGAGCACTGTAACTAATAATAAGAAAATTTATTTTTAGCAAAACTCTACTTTTTTTCATATATTTAGTACAATGTACTATTATTACTTTCAGGCTTTATGATTTCCATTGGGTTACTTGGCTGCTTTTTGGATTCCTTGTTATCGGACTAATTATAATGCAACCCTTCACGTGGTTCCACTTTTTATGGACAAAATACAAAGGAATCGATGAACCGAAAAACAAATATTTGCGATATATATATGACATTTCTTCAAATATAATAAGATCTGCTAAAATAAGAACAATAATGTATTTATTGANACAAATATTTGCGATATATATATGACATTTCTTCAAATATAATAAGATCTGCTAAAATAAGAACAATAATGTATTTATTGATAAGTCTAGGTCTGGCTGCGACTTCAGTAATTACAGTTGTTGGATGTTCTGTTGTAGAAGTAGAATTAGTGGATGCTGAATCAGTATTATCCAATTGTGTATCATCATGGGTAATTAATTACATTATACTTTTAATACAGCTATAATATAATTTTTATTAATAATGTAAACTACGTCAATAATGCTTATCTAAATTTCATTTTTAGCACGTCACACAATCTTGGGGGCTGGCGCTCCTGTTGAATTTCCTATTCAGCAGAGTTTTTTTCATATTTAAGTGGATCGTTGCGGGTGGAATGACAGTGTTCTACCTATGGGTTGTTTGGGAAATCAAAACCTCTCTTTTTGCTGAAGATGCAACATGGAATGTTGGATTAGATCCAAGAATATCTCATACTCTCTCAGTTGTATTCATTACAATTACTTTATATTTTATCGATAGAACAACTGAACACAGAAACCGATTAGACCATTTATGGCAATTGCAACTAAGTGAGGAGCAACAAGAAGCTGAAACTATGCTTAAAGTTAATAATATGTTTTTGGAGAATATTTTACCTGCTCATGTAGGTAAGTAAATTGAATACTTTCGATTTTTCTATTTTGGTAAATGACTTCACGACAAATGACGGATCTCCAGGTATCGATAGATGTTACAACGTATATCTGTAGATCTGAGGCCAAAGGCTTGACAGCATTGGAGTTATGAGCGCCCCATACTTCAAACCGGACTGTAAAGCATGGATGTCTGAACATAACAGAAGCTAAGATGATGTTTTAAGACTTATATTTTAGTAAACAATCCCTATAGTCGTTATCATGTATGCAATAACTTCATTTAAAATTGTTTTTCAGTTCAGGTGTACTTAAATTTGAATAGGTCTATAGATGAGTTGTATTATGAAAAGTATGACAATGTGGCAGTAATGTTCGCCTCTCTCACTGACTACAAACTGGGCCTAGAAGGTGACGCAGATATGAGTGATAAATTTGTGTTAAGCATATTAGATGAAGTAATTTCAGATTTCGACCGGGTAATTATTAACAATTCCATAAACGTGAAAGTAAACGCTTATTTTAATTATTACTTGCATAAACCAATTGTTTTTTGTGCAGTTGCTCCTAATAGGAACATCGGCTCATAGAGTTGAAAAAATTAAAATGGCAGGTTGGACTTATATGGCTGCATGCGGATTAGATCCAAATAGACGCGAATCACCAGATGCTATATCTCGTACATCTAACAGTCCAAATAACAGTTCATATAGTAAATCCGTTGTGTTAACCATGGTTGAATTCGCTGCAGCTATGATGATGCAACTTCAAAATTTTAATCGAGGGTCGTTTCAAAGCTATGAAGGACTCAATTTAAGAATAGGTGAGCTAGTTTTATTAGTTGTAAATACATATACGATATAACTATTTTAAAATAGTAAAACAATTCATTTTAAAACTTGAGGTATCTCACACGGCGAAGTAGCAGCGGGTATGGTGGGGTCTTTAAAGCCGCTTTATGATATTTGGGGACATGCAGTAAACATGGCTTCAAGAATGGATTCGACTGGACAAACTGGTAAAATTCAAGTAAGTTCTGTCCGTTCACTCTCATCATTATTTCCTACATCTGAAATTTGCCTGTGGCTCAGCAGTACCATTCGAAGATTTATAATTGATACAAAATCATTTCAGGTTACCGAAAATACAGCAATATTACTGGACGAATGTGACATTCTTACGACTTACCGAGGAGAGACTTTCGTCAAGGGAGCAGGATACATCAAAACATATTATGTTCCACTTGATGAAAATTTCAATTTAATAAAAAAGGATCAAAGTCTACATTACTATAGGTTAGAAGATAGGAACCGTTATTATAACCTTAGGAATACGAACTTTGAAGAACCTTATTCAGATAATGACAATATTGAATCAGAAACTTGCGATTCTACTTTTAGTGTTAGAGATCTTAGTATTCTTAGTGACAATTCTAGTGTTGAATTGAACGATATTTCAAGAAGAAGCTCTTCTACTAAAGATTACGAAATAATTGAAACTCGATGTTGATCTATGTTTTTTCTAATTTGTATTATATACAACTTGTAAGATTCATAAGCAAACATGTTCATGGAAATAATGGCTTCATCTGTGAACGGTCAGCCTTACACCACAATCTCTTGTCCCGGGTGTCATAAAAAGCAACTAAAGGATTGACGGGAGACAATAGTGTTATCTGAGTATACTATACTATGTATAATACCCGCGTAGGGCGGTCACGAACTGGAATAAATGGTAGGGCGTATCGTAAGCCAGCACGGGTGGGTATCACCATCCTGTCGATTTTTACCTCAAAGTTATCCCATTCGAACAATGGGAGAACCATTATAAAATATATTTGAGACTTCGATCATGTCTCAAGGTGTGTGACGACATTCTAAGCTTATATGAGCTCCAATAACAACTTGAAACTAGGTGGGCCGTGAGCCTGTTCAACTATACGCGCATGAAAAAAGTTATAGTTAAAAAAAATTAATAAGTATGCGCAAAAAAAAATTACGCTTATCAAGTAATTAGATTCTAATCCAATTAGAGTATGCTTAACAACTAAAATAAAATAATTGATATGAAAGTAATGCTTTTATTTTGTGTTTTGGCTCTAATAAATTATTGCAATTATTCATAAATTAAACAGGCCATAATTAGATATATTTTAAAAGGAATCCGCAAATTTAGAAACTTTTAAGATTTATGCTAGCGCAACACGAACTGGAGACGTTTCTTGAAAGCACTTTAAAAATTTAAAAAGTGTATCGTATTTATTGACCCCTTCTTTATCACAATTCTTAATGACAGGTTCAACCAGTGGCTGTGTTTCTTTTGGGAAGAGCTCAATACACTCTTTAACCTTTATGTGTCCGTCAGGATTTACAACTCCTATATCATTGCAAGTGCAGTAAAAGAATTCTTTGAATTTTTCATCTTCAGATACCTTGCCGCTACTGATCACTTCTATAACGTTCGGATTCGCTCCTGTCTTCGCGATACAGCTTTTCATGGCCTCCACGACTATTGTCGTTTTATCCTTAGGAAAGGACACTGCAACCTGAAACAAGATAATGTTGGACGTTTTGTAGATCATAGTAATACGTCAAGAAGTAAACTAAATCTATGTACTATATCCGACTTCAGAATATATATACAGCGTGTCCCAAAATTCAATGATAAGTCTGTACCGGTGTATGGTCGGGTCAATAGCTACCCATGGAAAAATAATTAAAAAAAAATCCCTCTTTTTTTTTCAAAGGTACATTAACTTTTTAAAAAAATGTTGTAATGTGTGTGAACATATGCCCACAATTTTTTGTATTAGCTACCTAAGTAACAAAACTATTAATTGCAGTTCCAAACAGGACCAAAACATTCGTAGTTTTTAATACAAAAATAACGGCGGGACGAATCGCAGGGTGGATTTGCAGCCGTGTTCGTGTACGGCAACTGTTTAGCCCAGGCCGAGACAATGGGCACCGAAGGCAGGCTTAGCCTTCGGCACAGAGAGTACCGAAACTTTGATGTCAGGACCGCAAGCGCGGAAGCGGATTGGACGATCAAGGCGGCGATTAATTTTGGAGGCTCAGAGGCATCCACGATAATTCGCGGGGTGACCCTGTGTGCGGCACAGGACGCAGCTAGGCGGTTCCATCGCGGTTTTTTGATCGCAAGTGCATAGGACCGTGGGGTGATCGCCCAAACACTTGAAGCATCGGGCGCGCGCGTGACAGTTACGGGAAGAGTGCCCGTACAGTTGGCTCTTATGGCACTGGCTCGGAGTGCCTTTTTGTGGGGGGTTTCTACGTATAAGTGTGAAACTTATACGCTCCTTACGGAGGTAAGAAGAGAGGCCCCTATGGTCGTCGGGTGATTGCACTTTTATTTGAATGCCGTTCGCGAAATTGCGGGTGCTGGTGAAATTAATTTTTTTGGCCTTAAGGTCCAGCGGAAACTCGGTGCCACGTCATTCTCTTGAATGATTTTAGGGGGAAGGGTTCTAGGTTTTGAACGTGGTGGCACGGACCGGGGGAGCGACGGGGATCGGAGGCCGGGGACGCGACGCGTTCGCGGCTTTGCTTACTTTAGCGGCCGCGGGAGCGCGGCAATTAAAGCTCTGCGACGAGCTTCTTACTTTTTTGGACTACTGTAAATCCATCTGTCGGGGTGGCAGGGGAAGTGTCGACGTCCATGTCCAACTCCGAGTCGGATTAGGAGGAGGGCACGTGCGACCTGCAACCGGGTGTTTTAGCAAACGTGGAGGTGGTAGGCGCGACGGAGGCCTGGAAAGATCGCGCGGGTGCAGTGAACGATGCTAGCACGACGGAGGCCGCTGATGAACGCACAGATGCGACGTAGGCGAACGCAGGGTTGGGATGGAAACTGCAACGGTTGACGCGGAAGTTTTGGGTGCGAGTATCGGGGACATGGGAGCGGCGGTTGCGACGGAGGCCGCGGTGTACGACGCGGGTGCGACGGAGGCCGCGATGGACGACGCAAAAGCGACGGGTGCGACGGAAACTGCGGGCGAGTTCGCGACCTGATGAATCTTGAATTCTAAGAATTCTACCGATAGAGTTGGATACCTCAGGCGAAGGAATTCCGCGAACAGGTCGACCGTGGACTTAATTATCATAGACGTGTGCCCAGGGGCTTTAAACACACTCGCCTTACGGCGAGGCCCCAAGATTATGATAATCGCAATTAATTGCGGCACACAGCCGTTCGCTTGCAAACGGGCAACTAGGTTGACGAACGAATTCCTGGAATTTAGAGGTCTGCCCGCTCACAGATGGTGGTGTGACGCAATTAGCACAAGTAGCCACTTCTAAGAAAACACTTGGCCGCTAGATATGCCCTGAACCGAGGTCGGGCGATCGAACGGTCGAAGAGCACGTTCGCACGCGACGTCGACATCAAATCCACGAAAAGCACAGCGGTGCTCTTCAAAACGGGTCGCCCTCCGAACATCACTTTGAGCATCCCACTCCCAACTAGGCGCGTTAACACCTCCTGCCCGCCATTCGCCCAATCATGATATACGACCAACTCATACCGTGGGCCCCGAAGGTCAAATACTTAGGCTTCACCCTCTTTTTTTATTATTTTTTTATTGCTTAGATATGTGGACGAGCTCACAGCCCACCTGGTGTTAAGTGGTTACTGGAGCCCATAGACATCTACAACGTAAATGCGCCACACACCTTGAGATATAGTTCTAAGGTCTCAGCATAGTCACAACGGCTGCCCCACCCTTCAAACCGAAACGCATTACTGCTTCACGGCAGAAATAGGCGGGGCGGTGGTACCTACCCGTGCGGACTCACAAGAGGTCCTACCACTATGCCTTATTTTTTCACGTTGTTTAGTTTATGTGTCAACATTTCTTTCAACCTGGCATTATTTTCCAAAAAAATAAATTACTTAATTGTTAACATCCCAAAACTATCCATGCCATAGTTTTTAAATTCGCCAATAGGCAAAGGGCTTAGCCCATACAGCCTTATAGCAAACCTATATGCTGTCAAACGAAAGAGTTGTTTGTGACTTGAACAACAAATTAAAAAAATTTAGCTAATGCTTATAATTCACAGGCTTCTTAGTTTATTTTTGTTCAATTCAATATTTATTGTAATAATAATTATTACTTAAAACCATGAATTATTTAATATTTTTAGATATTAATGATTCCATTAGTAAAAATATCAATGGCCTACCATTACTCTATTCTTATTATTATTTGATCAGAGAGTTTTGGCAGCAACCCGAGTGAAGCGTCACTTGAATTTTTATTTTAATGTTTTTTTAATAGTTTATTGTGTAATTTGTATTATTTGTATTTGTAATATTGTGTATAAAAGGTCTGCGTAAGCTCATGCTCAGTCAATGTGGTATTCGTCGAGTTGACGTCAAAACTCCCAAAAAGCAATAAAAAGAGATACACCGGCTTTTTATTGACATAAAAAATATATAACTTCGACAGACTAGGCTGTATAGGCTACGCTCTTTGCCTGCTTATTGGTGAATTTAAAAACAACAACAACAATATCGTTGCCGGCTTCCGGATTTTCATTTCATTTTATTATTATTATGAGGATATAATAATAATAAAATGTACGTAAGGGCTTATTTCTAGCAACATTAACCACAATTAACTTATTTAATACTGTAAATAATTATGAGAGCGATTATTGATTTCGAAGAAAACAATTAACAACTTAATTTTAGCTGCAGAAAAAAACAGATTTCTCTTAAACCTGGGTGAGAATATAAAAATCGTTTTCTGAATATGAAACGATATTTCTTTGTCTATCAAATTAAGTTAAAACCATCATGACAGGACAACTTTTTTTAGGGGCCCAAACGCCCATACAAAATGGGCATTGTCTTTTAGTCTTACCCTTTGTCCGTTTGAACTAGCGCTGAGTTGAAAAGCAAAAAAAGTTACAATAAATACTTTTAACATTTCGATGATTTATTGTTAAACAATTTTGATTAAAACGCGGTTTGATTACTAGGTATTTTATATCTGACTGTGATATGGTTGTTTCTGTTCTTCTTTTATAGTAATTATAGGCCTTGGGAAACCACGTCATTTACTATCTTCATTGTTTTAATAGATTTACTCATTGGTGGGAACGAGTTTGAATCTTTTTAGAGATCCGTAAAAAAAACATTTTTTTTTATTACTTAGATATGTGGACGACATCACGGCCCATCTGGTGTTAAATGATTACTAGAGCACATATGCACCTACAACGTAAATGCTGCCACCCACCTTGAGACATGAGTTCAAAGGTCTAAGTTTTAACAGTGCAACGGCTGCCCCAACCTAGAAATCGAAACACATCGAAACACACACAAACACAACAACACACTGCCACGACAGAAATAGGCAGGCCCGTATAGGCAAATGGTTTTTAATTAAGTCCTGCAGCATGTTTATCTTTCTTCTTATCTCGGCCAATTCATGATTACACTATTAGTACAGATGAATTTTCAACTTTTGAAGGTAACATTTTGTTCTAAAGAATAACTTCTACGATGAAACTATCATATTGTATAATGAAAATTGAATCCACAAAATATAAATTTTTGTGTAATTACTGCCTATCAAGCGTTCTTAGTACTAATACCACACGAGTAGATACTGCCATTCTGCCTATCTCTGTAAAGAAGCAGTCATGCGCTCTTGTTTGAAGAGTCTATAACTGTTGTTAAGCAAATAAATTGAGAATTCAATATTCTGTCTTAAGATGAATCGGAACATGTTAATATTTAAAACTCACAACACAACAATGCATGCGTCACGAATGTAGAATTGATTTTCTATTCTATTATATGTATCGGGATGTCGTTGCAGTTGATAAGGGGCTAACTCCACTATCCTTAGCTAACGGGAATTGGAAGAGGCTGAAGGTAGAGAGTATTTCAGATCGTATAGCCGTATGGAGGAGCTAGGAGTTACACGGTAGGTTCTACCGGGCTCTCACGGGGCCTGATGTAGACCAATTAGCTTCCGTAGCCTGGTTACGATTCAGTAACCTCTTTGGGGAAACTGAAGGTTTTATCTTTGCAATTATGGACGAAGTTATCATAACGAACAACTATTGGAAATATATACTAAAGGATGGGACGGTCGACATTTTTCGGGCATGCCACCGTCCGGGAGAGTCTATTATACATATTGTTTCTGGCTGTTCTCGGTTTGCTAACGGCGAGTACTTACATAGACATAACCAAGTGGCTAGGATTATCCATCAACAACTTGCTTTGAAATATGGTTTTCTTGATTCTGCTGTACCTTATTACCAATACCAACCTCAACCAGTTCTTGATAATAGTCATGTTACGCTCTACTGGGACCGATCTATTATCACGGATAGGTATATTGTTGCCAATAAGCCTGATATTGTGATAATAGATCGATCTGCGCGTCGAGCAGTGTTGGTTGATGTTACTATTCCTCATGACGAGAACCTCGTGAAGGCAGAAAAAGACAAATTAATAAAATATTTAAACCTGGCCCACGAGACTACCGCCATGTGGCATGTTGATTCAACCATCATTGTTCCAATAGTTGTGTCGGTACACGGCTTGATAGTGAAAAGTTTCGATCAACATCTTAAGAAACTTTCGTTATCCAGCTGGGTTAAGGGCCTAATACAGAAAGCAGTTATCCTCGATACTGCACGCATTGTGACGAGGTTTCTCACTCTGGAGTCCTAACCACTGGTGGCTTGTGTCGTAGACACCGCCATTAGCGACAATCTATTTTTATATAGTGTTTTTTAAAAATTGTATTTTTAATATCTTTTTTAAAAAATATTATGTAATTAATAAGATTTTAAATAAATATAAATAAATAATAATAATATGATAATTATTACAATAAAGTAAGGCTTAAAATAGGACCTAATTTTTATTTTCATCATATCCTATCTTGAACCTTGAAGTGCTGAAAACGCAAAATTTGTAACACTTGGGGGACCAAAGCTCGGCTTACTTTTACCTTAAAGCAGACTAGTTTGAGCGTCGAAGTCCGAAATAGATCCGACTTTATAAAATCCAACATGGGCCCTAAATTTCGACTTGGGTTGCTATTGTTTAGAACGACTTATTTTTCAAAACAGTTTTTTTTTATTGCGTAGTTGGGTGGACATCTGATGTTAAGTGGCTACCGAAGCCCATAGACATCAACCAGCTGCCGCCCATCTTGAAATATGACTTCCAAGTCTCAGTTTCACAGTACAACGGCTGCCCTTCAAACCGAAACACATGAATGCTTCACGGCAGAAATAAGCAGGACGGTGGTGCTTACCCGTGCGGAGTCAATCGTGAACATTTGTTAAGTACGTAACTCATTACAAAAATTGGTACTTGCCTGCCGGATTCAAACACCATTGCATCGCTACATACGAATGCACAGAACACCTTATCCTTTAGGCCACGACGACCTCGAAGTATTCGAAATATTTTCTACAAGCTTGAATCTGATCCTTAACAGAGTTTATCCTCCGTTTACAGTAATTAAAATGTAAAATTACAATTTCAACATACCTTTTGCGTGTATAATGCAGCACAGAGCTGAGATGCGCCCAACGTGCACACGACAACGACGAACACTTTTAACATTTTGATGAGCTTGGTTTTAACACACTAAGTATTTGATTATGTTAGATCATCTCTTATATAGTTGTTTTAAATCTTGATAAATTACACGGACGATAACATCGCTGATGACAAAAAGTTGGATGTACCTTTAAGTTAGTTTTATTTTCACATACGGACGAACGTAATTTTTATTTATTGGTTAGATGAGTGGATGAAATCACAGCCCACCTGGTATTAAGTGGTTACTGGAGCCCATAGACATCTACAACGTAAATGCGCCATCCACTTTGAGATATAAGTTCTAAGGTCTCAGTATAGTTACAACGGCTGCCCCACCCTTAAAACCGAAACGCATTACTGCTTCACGGCAGAAATAGGCAGGGCGGTGGTACCTATCCGCGCGGACTCACAAGTGGTCCTACCACCAGTAAAAAATATGTCTACATATGTAATACTACATATGTGCGAGATCATTATGTTAATTGCTTTACCAAAGTCAGTTTTATTAATTCTTGGTGACGTGTGTTAAACCAGGGTCCTTATAACTGGTACAAATATGTACTTCAGTTAGGGTGCGGAGCGTGACCTTCTGATCGCCTTCGGAATCCCATAGCACTTTTCTATATGGACGCTGTTTGAAGCGGGGAGCTCTAGCAACTCGGTCCAAGGAAGGCTGCTTGACTACGGTAGAAACAGGACATACCCACATTCCAAGCCTCGCTCGCATACAGCAACCTCGGTTCGGTTTCTTTTATTTATATTAATTTTGTTTGTGTAACTTTCTTGAGTGTTCGGTGTATCTACCGACACATCTTCTTTATTAACTTCAATATTGTAACGATCTTAACCTCTCACTAGTATCTTATAACTATTATTGTAGATTAACTCATTTTATCCTTTTTTATGTGTCTAATAAATACAATCTTGTTAATTTTAATTAGTTTATTTTATTGGTTCAAGTCTCCCAGAGCGGTAAGTGGTGGCGCTCTGAGATCCTCCTCACAGAGTCTCCTGTTCACCGGTTGTCTACCGGCGGTGACGTGTCAAGAAGTGGTGCGACTCGGCCCCGTGTCTCTCGACCCATAGACCACCTTTTGGGGACTGACGCGACTGGGCCTCATGTAACATCGGCATACCCAGGGGCACCCTCAGACACAGACACGTTATACATATTTTTCGATCGACATTACCTTAAAAAATTTTTTCATGATTAAAGGATTACTGGTGGCTCTGGGGCTTCTCCAGTTTCACCAGGACAGGTGGGCGAGGAAAGGCTCAGCCAGGAGGGGTGGGATTAGCTGGCAGCTGCCCGAGCGCCTTCGAAGGAGGCCTAACAACTCGAAAGCAGCTGCTTCGCGGATGAATCGGAATCGCGACCCCCTGAGAAGAGCCGGCGAGAAAAATGTATTGATTGCACGACATACCCCTTGCCGAGTTCGACGAGTACGGTTACCGGAGTCCCTAAGCCGGCTTCTAGTTTTAGAGCTGAAGGCGTCTAATACAAGGGTTATTGGACCTGATGGATCCGTAAGGACAACTTCAAGAATTATCTATTAGCGAAAAGCGATGATGGGTCCCACTTGAATTGGTGCAACCCACATTTTTATATTTATTTATTACACAGACGTATCAACTACCTGATGTTAAATGGTTAGGGAAGATAACCCAACCCCCTTATTAAGACATGCGGTCAAAGTTTCAAATTCTAACGTAATCTGAAATAGACAAGTCGGTACCTACCCGTACGAGCTTAAAATTTGCCCTATTACCAGTAATTATGCAATTTTTGTTTTAATTACACCTCACAAAATTGAACTTTATGTTGCAGGTTATAAAAATGTTGTTTCCTAATTCAGTCTCCATATTGCCATATTCACTGGTGGTAGGACCTCTAGTGAGTCCGCGCGGGTAGGTACCACCGCCCTGCCTATTTCTGTCGTGAAGCAGTGATGCGTTTCGGTTTGAAGGGTGGGGCAGCCGTTGTAACTATACTGAAATCTTAGAACTTATATCTCAAAGTGGATGGCGCATTTACGTTGTAGATGTCCATGGGCTCCAGTAACCACTTAACACCAGCTGGGCTGTGAGCTCGTCCAGCCATCTAAGCAATAAAAGAAAATTAAAAAAATCGTTTATCGAAACTCAAGACCTCCGATGGTAACGTCATTATGTCGCAGATGGGAATTCTCGCTGAGATTGAAAAATATTAATGTCAGCTGTACGAGTCCTGCACCACCCGTCCTGTACAGAACTGTCACGATTGAAGAGCCCCACTCACGCGCCATTTCACCGATGAGCTGCCGGACGTCAGTGTGGACGAAATAAGATTGGCTCTGAGACAACTCAAGAATGGAAAAGCCCCCGGAGATGATGGTATAACAACTGAGTTATTGAAAGCAGGAGGAACACCTCTCTTA